ATTCTGGGAGTTGAAGTCCACTCATCTTAAAGTGGCCAAGTTTGGACAACACTGCCGTAAGATATAAGAAGGTGAAGTGTAAGTCCTGCCACTCAGCTATAGCTCCTCTGAGAAGCAGGAGAATGCTGATCAGAGCATCGCTTCCTACCATCATGACAACTCCCCATCTTTTTTATTTTCACTCCTCTGACTAGGCTGAAGGTGATGTGTGACTCATTCTTGCCTCCTCTCAGATGTACATTACTCCCAAGGCAGCCATCTTCCACAGCGATGATCCCTTGAAGGAGCCAGCAGCCATGCTGAACAACATGCGGGTTTATGGCTCTGCCTTCCTGGTGCTTATGGTGCTGGTGGTGTTTGTGGGAGTGCGTTACGTGAACAAGTTTGCCTCTCTTTTCCTCGCCTGCGTCATTGTCTCCATTCTGGCTATTTACACTGGTGTCATCAAGTCCTCCTTTGCACCTCCTGATTTTCAGTAAGTTACTAGCGTATTCAGAGATGGCTAACCAAAGTGCCTTTTAAACCTGTTGCAAGCTGATGGCTCCCCCACCATCCTGCCCCTAAAGGTGTTGGGAAATATAAAATGGCCTGTAGAAGGGCTGAGAATTTCCTTCCCAAACTGAGAATTTCTAGTTTGCGTGTACACGCAAAACTACAGCTCACCATTCCCATCGGTAGTAGTGTGTGACAACTTTCAAACTGGTTTGTGTACCTTGTCACTTTTAAAATCTAACCAATTTGCTCATCTTTACTTCTCTCTCCATTCAGTGTGTGCATGCTGGGGAATCGTTCCCTCTCCCAGCATCATATTCAGACATGTGCCAAGACCAAGGAGTATGGTAACCTCACTGTACCCACATTGTTGTGGGCACACTTTTGCAACCATAGCAAGCTCCTCAATGCCTCTTGCGATGAGTATTTTCAACACAACAATGTCACTGTTATCCAAGGAATTCCAGGACTAGCCAGTGGTGTTATTGCTGGTGAGAAAGTTTTTTTTTTCTTCTCTGCCTAGCAAAAATGCTCTTGTTTCTTCTGTGTTGCTTTTCAAGTTGTATCCTATTGTAGCAGTGGCTCTGAAGTTTCTTCGGGATACTTTTCAGCCTAATTGTTGAGAAGATAATGGGATGGGGGACACTTTTACACTGCCCAGAACTCCTTGAATAAAGGATGGGATGGTGATGGTGATGGTGATAGTGATGATGATGGTGCCATAATTGCAGAGAATCTGTGGAGCAACTACCTGATGAAAGGTGAAATACTTGAGAAGCCATCTTTGCACTCGGTTGATGTGGGAGGAGCTCTGAATCAGCAGTATGTGTTGGCTGATATCACCACTTCCTTTACCCTTCTTGTGGGGATATTCTTCCCTTCTGTCACTGGTAAGTGCCTATGTTGTTGCTGAGCTCTCTGGTCAATGTGACTTCAGAACCAAGCCACATTAGAAGGGTAGATTAGCTAGCCTGAATCTGGGAGACCTGTATTTGGACTCCTGAAGATTTCAACCACAGTTTCTCAACTTTGGTAAAAGGAGCTTGATCCTGGCCAGACTAAAGGCCCATAGAAGGATAGGATTCAGATTTATTGTTGCTTTTTCCCACGTGACCCAACTCCATTTGCTCAGTTAACATTTAATTTCATCAAAGCAATGGTTCTTCTGCCAAAAGCTTTATCTAAAATACCAGCCGGCATTGTTCTTTATTATTACTTGATTCAGTACATAAATTGATTTTCCAGAAATGTATCAACTCATTAGTTAAATGGTGTTGTCTTCATAGGAATCATGGCTGGATCAAATCGTTCAGGGGACCTAAAGGATGCCCAGAAATCTATTCCTATTGGTACCATCCTGGCTATTCTCACCACCTCCTTTGTGTGTATCCTTTGCGGCAGCTGGGGACACTTCCAGAAAATCTGTCTTCTTATATCCCAACCATTCTAAAATCAGTTTAAAATGAAACCAAGATTGACAGGGACTGTTTTGCATAATTTTAGATTTATTTTGACATAAGCATGGGCATGTTTATATATTTGTGAATCTGAAGCTTGTAGAGCAGTGTTTCTCAACCTTGTCAAGTTTAAGATGGGTGGACTTCAACTCCCAGAATTCCCCAGCCAGCCATCCTGACTGGAGAATTCTGGGAGTTGAAGTTCACCCATCTTAAACTTGACAAGGTTGAGAAACACTGTTGTAGAGAATAGCCACCAATTGCACTTGCTCTTTTCAGCCAATATCTGTGTAGAGAGAACTGTCAGACCATCACCTCCCTCTTGGCCAACTCTCCTCATTCTTGACCAAAGAGAATACATTGCTCAAGTTCTGGCATTTGGGCTCCTTTATCTAATCATGCCAGTATGCTGCTTTAACAAATCCCAAGTGTTTGGGGACATGTTGAACCCAGAATCCATTAGCCATTCCCATCAGCACAAGGCAGTGATATATGGCTGTTTCTGAAGCAGCTTCGTTGACTTGAAATGAAATTTCCTCATCCACAGATACTGAGCTACTGGCAAGGAAATATATCAAAGCTGTTCACAATTTCAACCCTCTGGTTCATCTTGCACAAGTACCAGGACCATCCCTTTGTTTGGAAGATTCCTGCCTGAAGCATGTTAGGATTAATAAGCAAGGGAAGGAAAAGTGGTTTGAAAGAGCATAGCTTATGCATCTGAAAGAAGACTAGCTGTTCTTTTTTACTTCATTGTTCTTTACACAAAATTACCTTTGACTCTTTGCTGCATCAGATCTTAGCAATGTGGTGCTGTTTGGGGCTTGTGTAGAAGGTGTTGTACTCAGGGACAAGTAAGTAATACTACCTTGGCTTTCTCTAATGTTACAGTTTTCCAATAGTAGAAACTGCTTGTATATTTTTCTGGATGTAGGTTTTGGATTGTGCTGGCTATAAAGTTCCTTTGTGGTCAACACCTGGAATGTTTGATTCATGCTTCTTTTTTAAGCTCGATATTGTGGTTAGAGTAAGTTTGGTATTGTGGTTAAGGCATCAGGCTAGAAACCGGGAGACCGTAAGTTCTAGTCCTGCCTTAGGCATAAAGCCAGCTGGGTAACTTTGGGCCAGTCACACTCTTTCAGCCCTAGGAAGCAGGCAATGATAAACCGCTTCTGAAAAACCTTTCGAGGAAACTTCAGGGACTAGTCCAGGCAGTTGCCAGGAGTCAGTACTGACTTGAAGGTGTGCACATGTGCACACACACACAAATAAATTGTGGTTACCATTCTCCTTTGCTTCTGTTCTGTGGCTTGGATCTAGAATTAGAGGGCAATTATATATCTAGTTTACTGGGAATAAGTCCCTTTGAAGTTGCTTTAAATACTGTTTGCTAAACAGCAACAATGAAAAAAGGTGATAATCCTTCCATCCTCCTTATTAACTTTCCAGACATATCAGGATGATCACTGTGTGACAGAAGTTACTAGACTAGATGGGCTTTTGGGCCTGATCCAGCAGGTCTATTTTTATATATAGAAGTGCACACACTATGAGTTATATTATTTCCACTGAAATCGGAGGGATCTTTACAATTTTAATTGTAAAGATCCCTCTGATTTCAGTGGAAATAATACAACTCATAATGTGCACACTCCTCTCTCTCTCTCTCTACACACACACACACACACACACACACACTTCCTGCAGTTTGTTTCAGATTGATCCCTGCACTTCTCATTGTTAATCCTTAAGCGCTCAACTTACAATGTTCATTCTTTGTGCCTATCCAATAGATTTGGTGACACAGTGAAGGGGAACCTGGTGGTGGGTACGCTCTCCTGGCCATCCCCTTGGGTCATTGTCATTGGTTCGTTCTTCTCCACATGTGGAGCTGGGCTGCAGAGCCTCACAGGTGCACCCCGCCTGCTGCAGGCCATAGCAAAGGACAACATTATACCCTTCTTGCGGGTAAGTGGGCCACTCAGGGAAAGCATGTTTTGTTTCAGAGAGGGAGTTTATAAGGGTTTAATTATAGTCTCTCTGCTTCTTTCACACACATGCCTTTATTTTAGGTTTTTGGCCATGGTAAAGCTAATGGGGAGCCCACCTGGGCTTTGCTTCTGACAGCAGGCATTGCAGAACTTGGGATTCTTATTGCATCACTGGACATGGTAGCCCCTATTCTCTCCATGTAAGTGCCATATTTCTTATGGGTTGGGGTCCCAAGAAAACACACATTGCTGACACCACCAGCTGCTTTTCTAGGTTCTTCCTGATGTGTTACCTCTTTGTCAACCTAGCCTGCGCCCTACAAACTCTACTGCGCACCCCTAATTGGAGGCCACGCTTCCGGTACTATCATTGGTAAGAACACTCTACTACCTACTTGTTGAAGGGGGGGGCAGCATACGTGGATGCAAACATCAGAAGATGAAGAGGATGGGGGAATTTAAACTCCTAGCTCATATACCCAGTTGTGCAAAAGAAATTTGGTCTATATATCATATATAAGAGGGCAACTAGGGTCAACAAGATCAGAGTTGCTAACAAGTTCTCTTCGGTTGATTCTAGTGCCCACGGTCTTTAGGAAGCTATATGTGCCGTTCTCCTCCCAATTTCTCTCCCTGCAGGATACTCTCCTTCATGGGCATGAGTATCTGTGTGGCGCTCATGTTCATCTCCTCCTGGTATTATGCAATTATTGCGATGGTGATAGCTGGAATGATCTACAAATATATTGAGTATCATGGGTGAGTGTTCCTTGACCATTTTAGATTCATTCTGTGTGGCCTCTGCTCAGTGAGAATTTCTTGTAGTTAGATTTCTTCCCTCCCTCCCTCCCTCCCTCACCCTGATCCTGACCCTACCTTAACTTAATTATAGCCACCTGGGTTCTGCAAGATCACCTGAATCCACCTGGGTCCTGCTCTATCTGCAATGGTTTTGGAAAGAATAGGCTGAGTATGACATACTTGCTTGGCTGAACTGCGCTTTCTCTCGCAGGGCTGAGAAGGAGTGGGGAGATGGCATCCGTGGCTTGTCCCTGAGCGCAGCCCGTTTTGCTTTGCTGCGCCTCGAGGAGGGGCCGCCCCACACCAAAAATTGGAGGTAGGGAAACCACTGACTGCTTTTGGACTCTTGTTGCCTCACCATGGGGCAATGTTGCATGGAAAATGCAGGACACTTTTACATGTTGATATATTTATTATTTGCTACAATATAAACCTTTACGTCTGTATACTTTGGGGCAAAAGTCTAAATTCGTCTGCTTCTTTAACTCCCGTATGTGCATTTTGGCCTCCTTTTCTCCCTAGGCCACAACTGTTGGTGTTGCTAAAGTTGGATGAGGATCTGCATGTGAAACATCCACACCTGCTCACCTTTGCTTCCCAGCTGAAAGCTGGCAAAGGCCTGACTATCGTAGGCTCTGTCATGGTGGGCAACTTCCTGGAGAGTTACAGTGAAGCGCTGGCTGCTGAACAGGTGAAATTTTGTGGCCGTGCATTTCAGCTGACTGGGTGCCACTGATTAAATAGTAGGCCATTTAACAGCCTGACCCTCAGGTTTAGAAGTCCTTTCTCCTGAACCTACAAAAAGGGCAGCCAAAATTAGTTCAGTATAAAGCAAAGCTTTCTGATCATTAGGGACAAAAAAGGTAGGAGAATATCTGATATTTCATCTTTCTCTTTGCTCAGTTGTGTATTTTCTCTGGTCGACATGTGCTTTCCAAAAGTTAAGGAATTAAGGTCTTTTTCTCAACCTGGCTCCCTAAAACCTTTTAACTGGAAATAGTGAGGATTGAATCCTTTGCCTACAAAGCAGATACTTCATACTGACTTACTAATCGTTCCTTATTAGAATTTGATGTGCAGAGTCCTACAAATGATTTTGGAGAACAGGTCCCTGTACGTAACCAACCCTAAAACCAAACACTAATTTAACTAAAGTAGAATTAAAGTTTATATTAAAATGTGTACATAAAGGAACGAGGCCATACACTGCTGCTACTCACTTTCCTTAGTATGGTTTTCCCGTAATGAAGCTTAACTGTGGTTTCAAAACTGGTGGGGAAAATGTTTTAGAGTAGTATGGTAGGGAAGGCAGTCCCCCGCTGTGCTTTTGTTAAGCGAGGTTTTCCTAGCTCGCCAGAATAACTTGAAATGGGATTCAGAAACTTGTTTTAGCATGATGCATAAACCAGAAATTGTGTTTTGTCAACCCAAGTTTTATCTGTTGGATGATGCCATCATAAGGGCAACATGCATTTTTCTGGTTCCACCCGAAGCAGGTTCTTTTTGTCTTGTGGTTGTGCTTGGCCAAACCCAAATAGGAAAAGAGAGGATAATTGCTTGGGTCAGGACAAGCAATCTATGAGATATATTGATTCAGTTTGTATCATAGTACTTAGTAGCATCCATGAAGGGCATCTAGTAGTTGGTATCATAGATTTTTGCTCTTCTTCAGAATGAAATCATCATTCAGATATCCCATTTCTAGAAATGAGCCTGGGTTCCTTTATAAGATCCTGTTGCAGACTTTCTAACGAATCATCCAGTCCGCACATTACGTTCAAGTCTGTCTGAAGAATCAGTCTTTAGATGTAAACCCTCAAAAGTCTACACTACAGTAAAGCTTCCTCTGCCCGGGATGCTGAGTAGCTTTTTGCAGTAACACCTTTGAGCGACTTTCCATTATGTTGTTTCAGACCATCAAACATCTGATGGAGGCAGAACGTGTGAAAGGCTTCTGCCAGATTGTGGTTGCTGCCAAGGTGCGAGAGGGCATCTCCCACCTCATTCAGTCCTGTGGACTGGGTGGTATGAAGCACAACACTGTGGTGATGGGCTGGCCAAACGCCTGGCGTCAGAGTGAGGATGCCCGTGCTTGGAAGACTTTTATTGGTATGGTTTCTCTATGGGGAGATACTTGGGGCAAGAGGTCATGTCAGTCAACAGAACCACATTACATGGGTTCCTCTTCCTATTCTCCAGGCACCGTCCGTGTGACTACAGCTGCCCGCCTGGCCTTGCTTGTGGCAAAGAATGTGACTTTCTTCCCTAGCAATGCAGAACCTTTCCCCGAGGGGAACATTGATGTCTGGTGGATTGTGCATGATGGAGGAATGCTGATGCTACTCCCCTTCCTTCTCAAGCAGCATAAGGTGGTGATGGATGGGCGTTACTGAGATATGGGGCAGAAATTAAGATGGTAGATGGAGTGACTGATTGCCCCTCTTCTTGCTTCAAAGGTGTGGCGTAAATGCAAAATCCGCATCTTTACAGTAGCCCAGCTGGAAGACAATAGCATACAGATGAAGAAGGATCTGGCAACCTTCCTGTATCACCTCCGTATTGAGGCAGAGGTGGAAGTGGTTGAAATGGTGAGTGACACAGTACTATGGGGACAGGAAAAAGGAATTAGAGACATATGTAAAGGAAGCATATTCATACTCATTCCCAGTTCCTTTAGCATTGCCAACTACCTATCCCCAAGTTGCAAACTGACTTCTTTCACCATGGGAATAAGGATCAAAAACATAGATTTTTTTAAAAAATATACTGCCTTTCAAGGAAATAGTTATAAGCTGGCTACTCTTGTTTTGCAAAGAATGCCTGCAGCCATGCATATTCCTAGAGAAATCCGTACATGCAGACGTGCCATTAGTGGCACTGAATGAAATCTGGCAAAGGTTGTGAGTAATGGAAGAATGCTAGACACAGCCAGGGGTTGCAAGGGTTTCCAGTATCAGCTGTTTCTTCTTTTCTCTTGCAGCATGACAGTGACATCTCTGCCTACACATACGAGCGCACTTTGATGATGGAGCAGCGCTCCCAGATGCTGCGTCAAATGCGTCTCTCTAAAACAGAACGAGAACGTGAGGTGAACTGGGCTGAAACTAAGGTGGGAGAAAATAAAAGAGCAACAGATTTGGATTTCTTTTTCACTAAAGTATCAGTGATACTGCCCTTACAGGCCCAGCTTGTGAAGGATAGGAACTCAATGTTGCGACTGACCAGCATTGGCTCAGATGATGATGAAGAGACAGAGACTTACCAGGAGAAGGTGCACATGACCTGGACCAAGGACAAATACATGGCTTCCCGTGGACACAAACCCAGAGCCCTGGAGGGTTTCCAAGATCTGCTCAATATGCGTCCGTAAGATTTCAGTTCCTGGGATACTTCTGATATCATACACTTTTACTCTCACTAAATCCTTCCTAATATTTGCCCACCATTCTGCTTCCAAACTCTTCTTGGAAAGTGACACAGAACCTAGCCTGATCTTACTGCTATTCTGTCCTAAATGCTTTGATTTTGTTTTCCACCATAGATCCCATTGTTTCCCATGAGTAATGTTCTCCATCTCCAGCATATGCCAGAGTTCTTGATAGTACCTTCAGTTTGCTTTTCTGCAACTGCCATGTTATTCCCTGTTCTTTTGGGAAGGATCTGTGCCTGTATTTCTTTCACCCTCTAATCCATATGTGCCTTATTTTCTCACAAGCCAATTCTGGGCTGCAGATTGGATACCCCTGGTAAAGCTTGCTGTATGGATATATCTGTCTGGATCCTGCTAATACTTTTTTCTACCTCCAACCTAGGGATCAGTCTAATGTGCGACGTATGCACACA